TAAATAGGCTTTATAGAATAAAGATATATATAAAACTAGACTTAAAAAATATTTATTATTAATTATAAATATAAAAGAATAATAAATAGAAAATAATATTCCGAATATATTATAGATATTTTAAATACTATATTATATTTTTTAAACTATCTAATATTCTAGTAATATTCTAGATATATATTAATTATATACTAATAGGCCTTATAGATATTATTTATATAGTCTATCTAGATAATATTTTGATTTATTTAGAGAACCTAGAATAATATATAATAGTAGTCTAATATATATTTAAATAATTATAATAATACTAGCTTTTTATAAATTTAGTAAAATACGAGTTTAATATAAAAAGAATAGAATTTCTGGGATTTATAATTAGCCCAGATAGTATAGAAATAGAAGCCAGCCAAATTATAGCTATTAGAAAATAGCCGGCTCTAAAGAATAATATCCGAAAAGTCCAAATATTTCTGGGTTTTACTAACTTTTACTAGAGGTTTAACTATAGATATTTCAGGATAGTAAAAGAGTTAATTAATTTATTAAAAACTAATAGAAACCTATAATACTATTTTAGCTAGATAAATAAGGCAGATAAAGCTTTTAAAGAGCTATAAATTATATTTATAATAGTATTAATCTTTTATTATTTTAACCTAGCCTTAAAAATCTATATAGAAACGGATATTTTAGGATTTGTAATTATAGATATAATTTCCTAGCTTTTTAATAAGAGAATAGAAGCCAGATAATATTCTATTATCTTTTATTTAAAAAAGATAACTATAATTAAAAGCAGATATAAAATATATAATTTAGAACTTTTAGCTATTATTCTAATATTCTATATTTAGTAATATTATTTAATATATATCCGATATACTATTATTATTAAAACAGATTATAATAACTTAAAATATTTTATAACTAAAAAAAAACTAAATAGTTAATAGATAAAATAAATAGAGGAACTAGCTATCTTTAATTTCATTTTAGAATACCGGCCAGAGTATAATAACCCTATTAATAAACTATTAAAAAGGCCAGATTTTATAGTAGAAATAAATAAAAATACTTTACTATTTATATTTTATAATAAATTATAGAATATAAAATAGAGAGCCTTATAAATAGTAGTAATAAAATACTATATTATTTCTATAATACTATAATTCAAAGCCTAAAAAAGAAGAGATAGATATTTCTTAATTAGTAAAATACTAAAGAATTCTAAAAAGGAAATCTATTTTAATAATGAAATAATACCGGAAATACTACTATTTAAGCCTATTATTAGTATAGCTAGTTATAAATAGTATATATTATAGATTCTAACTATATAGGTAGCTGGATCCGAAATAGTATATAAAGAAAATAAAGAGATATTACTTAAACTATTATTATAGTATTAAAGGCTTAATCTATTAGTATAATACTAGTAATATAAATAGTTCTTAAAAGAAACCTCTACTAGAGCTATTAAGATTTAGAAACTTAATATATCTGAGTTATTAAAATATTAAAATACTATTTATATATTAAATAAGCCGGCTTTTAAAAAAGAATTACTATAAGCTAATTATAATAATCCTATAGATAGGTATTTTAGTACTAGTAAGATACTAGAGATTCTTTAGAGAAAATACTTCTAATAAAATATAAAACAGGATATAAAAAATTATATTAGAACTTATTTTATATATTAATAAACTAAAATAAAAAGATATCTACTATATAGTATATTTAGTTTATTCCTTTTCTTTTTTAAGCTATAATAAGAAATTACTATAGACTTTATTATAGGGCTATCCTCTTTTAGGTTTTATAATAAGATATATAATTCTATATTTATTATTATTAATAAATATATAAAAATAATATAATATATTCTAATTACTAAGAAAATCTCGACTCTTGAGTTAGTAAAGCTATTTATATATTATATTATTAAAGAATTCGGTATATCTATAGGTATAACTTCTAATAAAGGATCTGTTTTTATAAATAAGTTCTAGTTAAATCTGTATTTCTATTTAAAGATTTAATAATAGCTAAATATAGTATTCTATTTATAAACTAATAAATAAATAGAGAATCTGAACCAAACTCTAAAATAGTATTTGAGATACTATATTAGCTACTAATAAAATAACTAGATAGTAAAGCTTACTCTTATAGAATTCATATATAATAATTCTATATATTTAATAATAGAAATTTCTCTATTTTATATATTATACGGATTTTATTCTAGTATTAAATTATATATTAAAGATAATATTCTAGAAAATAAAATACTAGTAATATAGAAAAGAATATAGAGGATTTAAATAGAACGGGAAATACTAAAAAAGTAATAGTAAGAAGTAATAAATATATAAAAAAAGTACTATAATAAGAAATATATTAATAAGAAGTTTAATATATATAATAAAGTTATATTTTATATAAAGAATATTTAATAGCTATAATCTAGTATAAAGCTAATAAATAAATATCTTGGCCTTTTTAAAGTTCTGAAAATTATAAAAATATATAAATAGATATATTATTTAGAATTACTATTATTATATTAGATCTATAATATTTTCTATATTTTCTTCTTAGAACTATAATACCTATAAGCTAGTACTATAATAGAACTAGAACTAATCAAGATTAAAGGTAAAAAAGAATTCGAAATAGAATCTATTATAGCCTATAGAAAAGATAGAAAAGAAAAGAAATATTTCGTTTATTAAAAGAACTATTTACTAGTAGATAATATATAGGAACTACTAAGTAATCTAGAGAATATAGTTTAAGAATTATAAAAATACTTGGAAAAGAGTAATATTATAATACTATTAGTTAAATAGAAATATAAAAAATAAATACTTTTATTAGGAAACTATTAAAAACTATATATTTATTCTTGGAAAAACTATATAAAAATTATTAAAAATTTCAAAACTCTAATTTCTATATTCTATAAATACCTTATTCTTATAACTATTTTCTATTATTCTTATTATTATTTTTATTAGAATTCTTTTAAGAAACAGATAGTAAATTAGCCTATAAAGCTATTAGCTATTAGTAAGAAATAAGAAAAAAGTAAGCTTATTTAATACTAAAGAATATTAACTATACTATTAAAAGTACTTTATACTTATATTAAGCTAGTAAGAATTACTTAATTTATTTCTTGAATTATTAGGGGAATTCATTAATCTTAAATAATAGCTTTAATATAAGAAATATATATAGTTTAATATAAAAGAAAGATAATAATAGCCTTCTCTTTTTTAAGTAAAAAATAAAGAAGATATTTATATATATTAATAGCTTAAAGAAGGCGGTTTAATTATACTATATATATTTAAAGAACTTTGGATAGTATTAGAATAAAAAATAAAAGAAGAAATTTATAATTTATAGAATTATATTTCTTATTCTTGAAATAGTAATAATTATATACCAAGTAATTATTACTTTTAATATAAGTAAGGTCGGGAAACTTAGTAATATTCTTGAAATATTAAAAATAGTAAAAGCGAATTAAGAATATAGAAGTATTAGCCAAATAAGTAATAATAGGCTAATAAATACTAAGAGAAGTATTTATCTTAATAGATAGAGAAGTAGAAGAGGGAATTAGAAGGGGACTTAAATAAAGCTTGAATAAGGCTTAAAGAAGCTTAAAAAAGACTTGAAAAAGAAAGGCAAGAAACGAGGAGAAGCTGGGTACGGTATTATAGTTAAGGAAAAGAAAGATTAATTAGTAGGAAAAGAGAGGCCTTTTTATAATATTCTCTCCCTAAATAGTAATTATAAATTCGGAACTGGCTCTATATTAGAAATATCTAGAAAATTCTAAAAAAGGAATTTATAAATAAACTAGAAGATCGAATTAACTTTTCTAAGCTCTTAGACCTATAAAATAATAATTTATTTATAAATAAAAGCTAAGTTAAGATTTATGAACTAATTAGAAGACCAGAAGAGCTTTATATCTAATAGTATATACTATATTTATATTATTTTTATAAGAGGGAATTACTAGAGGCAATTTATAAGTTAACTAGATAGGGTTAGTAAACTATATCCTTAATTCTATTACCTAGTATAATAATAGGGTAATTATAGAAAGTCTTTAGGGAAAACTAGTAGCCGGGAAAGTTTCAGGGAGTTATTTATAAAGCTATTTATAGTTTTCTCAGGCCTTTTAAAAATAAGGGCCTAGAGAAGAGATTAATATAATAGGTATATATAATAGTATATAGACAGGTATTAGATATTATAGATCTAGTTCCCTATTTTAGATAAAGCTTATAATTGGAATTATATAGATTATATTAGTTCGTATTTCCTAATTAAGTAAAGGGCTTTATATACTTGGCTAAGTACTAGGAAATATATAGGGAAATACTTCTAGCTTTAGAAAGGGGTATTAATTAGTCTTTTATTAGAATTAACTTTTGGAATTAGTTATACTTATAAGTATTATTTCATAGCTTACTTACCTTAACTACTTATATATTACTCTACTATTATATATCTTATAATCCCGTAACTATATATATAACTTCTAAAAAAAATAGCTATACTAATACTAGAAACTTTCTAAAAATATAAAAAAATAGTATCTCTTTCTAATTATATATAAATTCCCTAATCTAGTCTAGTATTAGATTTCTCAAATACTTTATATATCTATATTATTTCTGAGGTTTTAGTTATATACTAAAGGCTATAGCCTTTTATATATAACTTCTCTTTCTATAATATTTTTCTATTCTATATATTTATTTTCTATTTTATTTATATTTGATTTATTCTTCTATATCTAATTATATAATATTTATATTAATTAGATATTTAAAAGTATTTATTAGTTTTAATTTCGTTATAAAATTAATAGGATTTAATTTTCCTTTAATCTATTTAACTTTTATAATTTCTTATTATTTATATATCTAGTAAAAATATATTATATTAATTATTAGATACTTTTCTTAAATAGTTCCTAATTTAATAAGGCATTTATATAACAACTTCGAATCTATATAGACTACTAGTAGCAGTTCTATTTCTAGTATTCTATTAATTATAAATTTAACTAAAGTACCTATATTAAAGCTATAAGCTATACTATAGAATTCCGAAACTAGAATACTTCAAATAACTTTCTTGTATTTAGTAAAAAACTAGTAAATAATATTAGTATATTTAGTTCTATTTACTAGAACTAGAATATATCCGATTTGGGAAAAGAAATCTTTATTATTTATAAATAAAACGTTTATAAAAATAATTAAATATAAGAACTTTTTTACTAGTTTTATAAATCTCAGTTCTTTAGTAGTATTTTCAATTTATTATTAAATATATTTATTAAGTATCTTTATATTAGTTTCCGAGAATTTAATAGCTTAAATAATAATTAATAGGTTATATAAAACTTCTAGTTAATAGACTAATATAATATATACTTCTCTAGTATATTAGATAATATATTAGTTCTTAATAGAGAGATCTTAATAAATAATACTTCTACTATTTATAATAGTAGTATTCTTTATAGAAACGGTTCGGAGGTTTTTATATTAGTATTTCTATATAAGAGTAATTCTAATAGTATTTATATAAATAATACCTCTATTAAACTTGAGATTATAATTAATAATAAGGTATTTATATTCCTTAGCTAAAAACTTAGCTTTATAGAACTTTAATTATTCTATCTTTATAAAATTATTAGTTTAAAGGCTAATAATTCCGAAGAATTACTTATTATAAAAGAAATAAGGATTATAAGTTAATTATTTTATAGAAAGCTTATTAATATAATAGAAATAGTAAGTTTTAAACTAGTAGTTTCTAGCTTCTAATATACTATATAGTAGTTTTATAACTTTTAGAACTGAATTATTATTTAGATTTAGCTCTCTAGTAAGCTTATAAAATAAATTAATATAAAAATTATAATTAAATAAGATTATTAATTAGATATAAGCTTATGAGATATTATATAAATATAGCTTTATAGTATCTATTATTATAATAGTAATACTAAGGATAATTCTCTAGTTAATATATTAAATAATAAATAATTATATTAATACTATATATTTCTTACTATTATTATAAGCCTAGATAACTAGTCTCGACTTCTTAAACTCTTTCTTTATATTCTTATTCTTGATTTTATTAATAAACCGGGAGTTAAAAATATATATCTTATTTAGTATCTGAAATCTGGAAATAACCTTAAATATATTCTTTTCTAAAAGGCCTATAACTTTAACTTAATAGGAGTTTTTATATAGGTTATTATCTTATAAAAATACTATAATATCCGGGTTTTTATAAAAGTATCCTCTATTATATTTTAATAAAATAGTAGAAATAGTAAGAGAAATTATATCTATATTACCTTTAGTTATATTATAGAATTCGGGAATAGGTTTAGGTTCGGGGCTATTAGTAATAACCTTAATATCTCTTATATAAAAGGGCTTTATAGAAATTAAATAGAAAATAGTATTACTATATAATAGAACTAGTATATAGTTCTCTCTATTAACGGCTACTAGCTTATATAGCCTATTTTAGTTATTAGATTAACCGGTATTCTCTTTATATTATATAAGAATATCCGAATTTAAAGAAAGTTTATAAATATTAGTAGTACTAAGACTATTTCGGGTATTTAAAGTATTTATAATCTAGTATTTAGTTTAAAGCTTCTGAATTTCTACTATTACTTTTTTAAGTACTACTAATTACTATAATATAATTAGTAATAAAATATTATATTCGATTATTTAGGGTAAAGTATTATAAACTAAAAGAATTAGAATAATACTATTAGATCTAGTAGAATTATTAATGGCTTTAAAAGCTATTTAAAATATAGTATCCTTATTAATTCTATTAATTTCGGCTATAATAATAAGGTAAATATATTAAATCGGGCTATAATAGTATTCTATAATTCTAATAGAATTATAAGCTTCTATAGGAACGATTTTAACTTTAGTTCCTATAGTATTTATAAGCTAAATAAACTCCTTATTAGTAAACTACTTTCCGGTATTTATTATAATCTAATTAGAAAGATCTAAATAGGTATTAATCTAATACTATTTTAGAATATTCCAAATATATAATATACTAATATTTTAAAGCTATTAGCCGGCTTAATATCTAGTATCTTTATTATAATATAGAATATAGACTTATTAGAAATATAGAAAATATTAATAATAATAGAATAGTTAAAGCTAATATTATCTTTTAGGTTAAACTTAAATTATTCCGGTAATTATTCGAATTTCTGGTATTATTTATAGTATTTTATAAGGTATTTAAAGGCTTCTATATTAATATTATAGCTTGTTTATTCTAATATATTTCGGAGCTTACTAATAAATAAATAAATAAAATAATAATATAAATATTATAATTCAATTTCTATAAAAAAGCAAGAGTTATAAATAAAGAATTCGGAAATAAAGCTTTATAAAATAATATTCTAAAACAGAAAAGAATATCTAAAATATTATATTATAAATATAAAGTATTTATTAGAAATAATAAAATAATTAGTAAGATTATTAAAATAGATTTCTAGCTTATTTATATTAGCCAAGCTAAATAGAAATAGAGTCTTTATAGATATAATATAGAATTATACTTATCTAATTAGTATTTTTACTATTATAGATCTAATAGAAGATATAAATCCGATACTAAACTAGATATTAACTTGACCTTTAGTAGTTTTATTAAATTAGATATTACTATTAGTTTACTATAAAGCTTGAAATTAGTTAGAACTAGTAATTAAGAATCTAGAAGCTCTAGTATTAATTATAATTTTATAAAAATAATAAGTATTATATCTTAATATACTATTAATTATAAATATTTAGGTATTTTTTATTTATTTAGTAAATTCTAAAATATGGTTTTTGCCTATTATTTAGTATATAAAAGAAAGAAAAGTAAAATTATCTATAAGAATATTAGTTATAGGAATTATAGGAATAAGGGCTATAGAAGTAGCTAGAAAGCTTTTAATAGAAATAAAATAGAAATTAGAATAATATTTCTCTCTTTTATTCGTTTCTACTAGTAAGACTTTAAAAGTATTATTTACTAGTTTATTTTTATTATTCTTATTATTCTTTTCTTTTTTCAATTCGGTAATATACTATATATAAGTACTATTAAAGTATTTATTAAAATTACAGGTATTTCGGGATCTAAATTAGTAAATATTTCTATTTTTAAATCGAGTCTTTTTAGTCTCTTATTTCTCTAATATATATTTCTATAAATAATATTCGGATTTCTTATATATAAAATATAATTTCGAAGCATAATTATTATAATTACAGGATTTAGAATAGTTATTACGGGTTTCGAAGTTATAGCTAGGTCTATATTAATAATTTCCGGACAGGTAATAGTTTAGAAGGTTTTGAGAATAGTATTATTAATTAGTAAAGAGGATTTCGGTATTAATCTATTATTTCTTTTTATAGATAGTAATAAATAATTGAAGTTTATTAATAAATTAGCCGAAATTAGGAAAAGAATCCGAAACTATATATTAATATACTAGTATATTTTAATAAGAGATAATAATCTTATTATATAGGAATTTGGTATTTTATAAAACAGGTACTAATCTATATTATAATTTATATAAGTTATTAATTAGTAACTAGATAAGTTCAAATATTATCTTTTTAGGGTATTAAACTATTATAGTTACTATTATAGTAGTATTTTACTTATCTAAGTTTTAATATTAGAAACTAGGGCTTTTAAAAAAGCTATAAATATTTATATAGGCCTTTTTATATATATATTAAGAGAGCTAGTTATTATAAAAGTAATCTTATATTAGTTCCTTTAATATAATCGGAAAAGCTCTTACTAATATCTTTTATAAAAGCTCTATATATTAGTAAATATTAAGAAAGATAATAAGTTTTTAGTTAAAACTATTATTAGTTCTATTATATTTCTATATTTCAATATATATCTTTATTATTTCTCTAATTAGCTTTATAGTAAAAGAGCTAGCTAAAGGGCTATTTAGAAATAATAGAAGTAATAGGAGATTATTAGTTTTGGCTTTTTATAGTCCGGTATTAGTAAAAGCAATTATAGATAATAAAGAGATAATAAATAATAAAGAAATATAAGTAATAATTAGTTTAGTATATTAATTTCTTATAATACTATTATTTAGAGATATATATAATAAGATAATAGAACCTGCTTTAAGGTTTTATCTAATAATAATAATATTATTAGTAGTTTAGATATATTATTCTTCTTTCTAAATAATATTAACTAAGAACTATATAATAGTAAAGTAATTATAGTTATATTTAATATAAATATTACTATATTATAAAGTAGCTTATAATTAATATAGTATATATTAATCTAGTTAATTAAATATCTCGAGATTAAAATTACTAATATTCTTTTTAAATAATTCCCAGAGGTCCTTATTAGTTAACTTCTTTACCTTATACTAGAATAATCTAGTATTAAGATAATCTAGGATTTCCTTATAATTAGAGCTAGCCAGGTTAATACTATTCTTCTATTTCTTTATTTACTTATATCTATTCTAAAAGTTTACTATCTCGAATCCTTAGGGCTAAGCCCTTTCCGGTATATATATATAATTTATAATAAGAGGAATTTAAGGATAAGGTAGTTTATAATAGGTTTGGTAGTAAAGATATCCAGATATCTGGTTTAGATATTAGATATCTAGTTTAGATACCTAATTAAGATACTAGATATCTAGTTTAGATACCTGGTTAAGATATTAGATACCTGATTAAGATATTAGATACCTGATTGAGATACTAGATACTTTAGATATTTAGAAGTATTATAGATATTAAAATAAATATTTTGCTTTTAAATATTTCATTTATAATAAGAAATTTAGAAAGTGAAATATTATAATTCTAGAAGAGTCTAAAGCTTAAAGAACTCGATTTAATAGTAAAATCGAAGTAGTAGTTAAAGAGCTTTAAAGATATATATAGAATATATATTCCGGAAAGAAAGTTCTATAGATATAAGTATTATATAAATAGAAAAGATAGTTTCCAAAAAGGTAATTTTAGGGTTAAAAGAAGTTGGTTTTTAAAGAATAGTAGAAATTAAATAAATAGATAATTAAATAACTAACTATTTATTAATTAGTAAGAACTAAAGTCTTCTTTTTTAGGCTATTAGATGCTTTTTTATAGAATTATTAGGTAATTCCCTCCTTTAATATAACTAGATTAATATTACTAAGGGCTATCGGATACCTCTTTTAATATAACTA